CCCCCAGGGGGCCCCGCGGGTCTGTGGGGCTCCTAAGGGGACTTTGTGGTGGCCAAGGCAGGAACCGAGATTGGGGAAGCAGGTTGCTCTGGGAACCAAGCAGCCTCCTCTGCCCTCCTGTGCCGCAGTCTTTCCCAGCAAGGGTTCAGGAACCTGGAGAAGGGCCGCGCATAAATGGATACACTAGACAAGAAATATAAATTCAGAAGGCATGGGGAACCAGGCGGAAACCCTTCTCTAGTGGAGTTGGCTCGCCTATTCTCCGGACCCACAGCTTTTTATTTACACACTAGAGGCCCGATGCACGAAATTTGTGCAAGAGTCGGCCTTCCCTCAGCTGCCAGCGCCCTCCCGGCATCTCTCTGGCACCTGGGATGGCTTCCCTCCAGCTGCCTGCAGGTACCGGAGACCCCAAGGCTTTTCTCACAGCCCCTGCTTCATTCCCAAGGTTGAAGCCCAGTCTAATTAGCATATTAACTCTTATTATTATAGGTTTTGTCCTTTAGCAAAGCAAACATACATATCAAAGGTAAGGTTGGTAAACAGTAAAAGATTATCAGGTTAGGGGGTTGCCCTGCGACATTCAGCCAACATTGTCCCCTTGCTAAAAGCCCCGAGGTCCATGAGCCTTCTGAAGGACTTCTTGCATAATTATGACCTGCTGGTCATAGCCTCCAGCACTCCTGGGCAGTGGTGAGGGGCCCTTCAAGGGGGGCTGTCCCCTGTATAGGTGAGGTGCAGGGCCAGGCAGGGAGGGGCCTGCAGCCGTGGGGCAGGGTTCAGGCCTAGCTCTGCACTTTCCAGCCACGAGACTGTAGGCCAGGTCCTTCGCCTCTCTGGGCCTCAGTTTTTCCAGCTGTGAAATGGGGCGCTGTCTGCGACTCCCAGGCTGGGGAGGGTGATGTAAATGCCAGCCATAACACCAGGCCCCTATGACTGCACGTTCCCCGGGGCATGGCCAGGCCAGGGTCTGGAAGAAAAGCTGGGAAGACCCTGGTGTGGGGCTGGGGGGAAACTCTGAGTGGCAGCAAAGCCCGAGGTGAGTGGGGCGGTGTGTGGGGAGGCCCCAGGAGGACTGAGCAGCCTCCTCACAGCGCAGGGAGCACTGAGGTGGAGACTACACTGTCTCCCTGAGCTTCCAGGTTCGGAGACAGGAAGTGAGAGTTTCCTGGCAGGAACTCCATGCCCGGGCAGGCCTGGTGCGTGTTCCTGTCAGCCCAGCCGCGTCTGGGGCCTGGAGTCAGCTTCCCAAGGCCGAGTGGGGATGAGCCGCTCCTAACGGTGTAGTCGGGGAGGCTGGGAGCCACAGGTTGGCTGAGGTGGGGACACCCTGAGTGCTTCAGGCCCAGGGCTCTGGTCATCGGTCATTCTGCCCCAGGGTGGGTGGGGGCTGTGCCCGGGACCCTGCCACCCTCCCTGTCACCATGAGGCCCTGCAGAGAGGAGAGCCCAGAGAACTTGGCTCCTGTGGTCCAAGCGTGGGCTAGGGCCTGGCTCCAGAGCCGCTTCCGGCCGTGCTGGCCAAGCCGTCTGGCCAGTAAGGAAGTGTGTGTGTGCATGTGTCCCTGGAATGTTCTGGCCCCGGTCCACACCCGAGGATGGAGGGACCGTGCCCGTGTCTGCAGTTCCCCTGAGGCAGGACAGCCTGGGAGCCCCAGGTGCCCCTCCAGCTGGAGTCGCAGCTGCGTCCCCTCCAACAGGTCCCTGGTCCTGCCTCTACCTGGCACCCTCCTCCTGGCGGCGCCCTCGCCTCCCTCCGCTGGTCTTCCCCCAGTGCCCACGTTCCCGGGCTCCTCCATGGACAGGGCTTCCTGTACACCCCTGAGCTGAGGGGCCTGGAGTTGGGGCCTGGAGTTGGGGCCTGCTCCGTGACGTCTGGAGCCCAGGCTCCAGGCCCCTCTGGAGGGCCTGAGGAGGTGCAGAGGGCAGCCTGCAGCCCAAGCGCAGTCCTGGGGTGAGCCCAGCCTGGGCTCGCACCCTCTGTGGCCCCCTCCCCGTGGCTGAGCATCCTAGCCACCTGGTGCGAGGCAGGGCCAGCTCACGCTCTGCTGGCCGCCCCCCCATCACCCCGCAGGACTGCTGGTCAGTGGCAGTTCTCAAACATTCCCTGCCACACCCCCAACCTGGAACCTGAGAAATTCCCACCCCTGGGGCCCACCAGGACTCAGCCCTGGCTGTGCTGCAGCCCCGGGGAGGGGGCAGGACAGCCCTGCCTGGGCTCTGCTCAGTGCCAGTCGGCAGTGCAGGGAGGTGGGCCCGGAAGGTCTGGAGACGCACGGCCCCTGCCCCTGCGTGCCGGCCCTGCAGCCTTTCAGGACCCTCGCCCTGTGCTTGGGAGACAGCTTCCTCGGGCTCCAAGGGGCCTGGCTCCACAGGGATAAACTGAGGCCGGCCGGGAAGTCTGGCCCCCTGCAGCCACCTGCTCCCTTGCGCTGCCATGGTCAGGGCCAGGCTGAGACAGCAGGGCCTTCTGTGCAGGGGGGTCAGGGCCAGGCCGAGAGACAGTGGGGTCTTCTGTGCAGGGGGGCGGGGGGGGAGGCCCTGCCTGTTTCCGTGACTCCGGTCAACTCCCTCGCCTCACGCCCAGGTTCCCGTCAAGCTGAGGCTGCCAATGCAAATGAGGTTCCCAGCAGCCTCGCCCCGAAGGCTGGAGCCAGGTGCCCAATGGAGGGATCTCCTTTCAGCCCCCCCCCCCGAGCCCAGGCTATGGGGTCAGCCCCCACACCCAAGGGTTTCACTTGCCTGGCAGGAGCCCCTCAGCCTGAAGTCCCTCATGTCTAACCCAATCCCTGATGCCACACAACAAACCTTGGGTTCCTTGTCTCCCAGGCCCCCCGCTGAGCGGGGCTCCCAGCACCTGAGGCAGCGAACCCCGAATTCCAGGGCGGGAGCCTGTTTTGCTCGGCAGCCACAAGTGTGGGCCTCCCCAGCTCTGGGCCTGCCTCCGTCTCCGCATCCACTAAATGGGGCCACAGAACCTTCCCTGGCACATGGGGCCCCAGGCCTCCTGCTCCCAGCCGTCTTGGCCTACCTTTCCGAGGGGAGCACCGCTGCAATTCACGTTTATTTTTTAAAACTCTGTCTCACGCTCAGACCGGGTGGTGCCGACACCATGACGGGAGCCCCTGCCCCACACTCCCCAGCAGATGCCCGAAATGCCTCCGCCATTGCTGTCCCTCTGGCCCAGCAGCCACGCGTGGCTGAGGATGGAAGCTTCATGGCTCTGGGCTGACATGGGGCAGGGCTGGGAGTGCCTCCCTGGACTCCTGGGGTGGGGCTCAGGCCTGGGGGACAGTGGCTGACCCTCACCTCCCGCAGCGCCCCGAGGTCAGCTCTGCTCTGCCCCCCAGCTCTAGATGCAGGTGATGAGCAAGTCCACCGAGGCGGGCACCGGGATCTCCTCAAAGAGCACGCGGCCCCCCGCGGTGTCGGCGCGGCCTGCTCTCAGCAGGTCCTGGGCGCGCTGCAGGAGGCGGTGGTTCCGCCGGCGGCCCAGGCGGCGCAGCGCCAGGATGGCCAGCACGTGCTCCTGCCTGCAGAGACACGGACCCTCACTGCAGACCCAGCCCGTCCAGGGACACCCCAGGCCCTGGGTGAGGGGAACTCCTGCTGGGGCTGGTCTGAGAGAGGCGGGCGGGCAGCACTCCTGGAGGAACTGGCTGGCTGGAGGGTCCGTCTGGTGGAGAGAAGGGGCCGCCCGCTGGGGAAAGGCCTAGGCAGAGGCTCAGGAAACGCTTGCACAGGGCGGTGGGCCAGGGGCATCATGGGCCTGGGAAGGGGGGGCCGTCCTGAGAGCACTGTGCAGGGAGCCCAGCCAGGCAGCAAGGGGAAAGGCCGGTGGAGGAGGGAGGTGGAGGAGGCCTCGTTAGTCACTCCTTCCTGGCCAGGGCACCCCACCTCCAGGAGCCTGGGAGGTCAGGGCCACTGAGGGTAGGGGAACCCCACGGGGCCAGGAGGGGAGCCCCAGAGCGCTGAGGGGGGCCACTCTGAGTCTGTCAGAGAGATAGTGCGGGCGGGCAGGAACGCTCCTGCACCTCCACCATCCCATCCCCAAGGCCACGAGCTGGGATTCCCAAGGGTTGATGACTCACCCCTCCGCCCTTCCCCCCAAACAAAGCCTCTTTCCTCCTGGCAGGGCTTCCAGAGAGGGCTTTGTTCCCCAAAA